AACCGTGTGGAGTTACACCTGCTTTACCTCAGTGAATGAAAGGTGTGTGTCAGGCCCTGCAGGGTGGAAGATGAATAAGAAATCGCTCTGACCTTGACTGTCAAATCCAATTTTTATGGTGGGCCACACCAAATATCCAGAACCAAGCACTGTTTACCCTTGCAGGGATGCTCAAATACGGATCCAAATATCATGGCTCAGGGCAATTGCCAACCATCATGATTGGTTATTTATTCAAAGCAAAGTGTGTGGTCATTGGACCAGGAGATATTGGGGAATGTAATTGCTAGTGTGTTCAAGCAGCTACAGAAAAAGCTTGTTAATTATTATCTCTTGAGATATATTTCCATAATGTTAAAGGCCTTTTCTTGGCTTTAGCTGCAGGAATTCCCCTTGATGTAAGAGGGCAATATGAAGGCTGGGTGTTGAGGAGAAGGAGAACACATATAGAAAAGAGATTTCAGAAATTAATGTGGATCTGCCTGAACTATTGCAATATGCTACAAGGCTGCACAGTATATGTGAAACCCAGCCTTTGCAGAAACACTGTCAAGTACTGTCTCCTCAGCCTGATTACTCATCACTTTCTCCTAGGAACTTGAACCTGTACATTAAACTTCATTCCCTATCAATTTTGTCCTATTCCCACTTGGCAAACTTTGGTTTCTCTCCTGGGCTTTTAATAGAGCTGAAGCAAATCCTATTTGTTTGTAAATCCAACAATGTTAGCTTCTTGCTCATGACACTTTCTGTTTTGATGGGCAAAAAGGTATGTTTTCCAGTTAGCTTAACACTGTGGGAGAAGCTCAACTGGTAAAAACAAAATGTATACCAAAATAGATCTACCCTAGAAAGGAGTAGCAGCCAGTGTGGATCCAGTTACTGGGGAATACTTCCTGCAGAGGGTATTACAGCAAGTGTTGTAGCCAGGCAAGATAACGATGTTGTGCCAACCTGAAAAGCAACTCTGTCATTCCAGGAGGAGGGAGGATGTGGCCAGATAGACTATGCTCTTGCTGTTGTCAGCTGCCGGGATGGAAGTCAAAGTATCCAGGAAGCTTCTTTACCTCTACCAGGGGCTGGGTTGAGAAGAAATGGGAAACAAGCATAGCATAAAGCCACCTTTGCCATCCCTGTCAGTTTCTATGCTAAGAGTACCTTGACTAAAACAGATCTTTGTAAGCAGTACAAATCTGGATCCAGGTCCAGTGTTTGTCATCTGAAATGTTTCTAGGCCCTGATCACATGCTGTACAAAGACTGCAGGATCAGGCTCCAGGAGGCTGTTTGCATCAGTGGAGTTGTTTGCATTAGGGGCACCAGTCATTATACTAGGTGATGTGCAAACATAAAATGAAAAGCTGGTTCCTATCCCTAAAAGCATTTGATCTAAGAATAAGACCAAACAACACATGAATACAGACAGACTGAGGTGGGGAGTACAAGAAAACAGTGAGACAGACTGGATTGGCATGGTGGGCTGGGGTCTCAGCACTAGCTGTGGCTGAGGTTTTGTAGCTGTCATTGAAAAAGGGCCATTTTGAGAAGTTTAATGGAGAATACTGGGCTGAATTTGCAGGTGATAGTGGAGAGCCCCCCCCCCCAAGTGTAAGGGGCAATGTGGATGCTACCACTAAGGGGCTTGTTTGAAAATTTAGCAGATAGACAATGGAGGTTGGTATCGTGGACTGACTGGGGGGAAGGAGTTCATCTTTTAGTACTAAATGTGAGAGATGTAGGAGCATGGGGATAAGCCACGAAGAGACTCGAAGAGATGTAGCTTATGTTTCATGCAACAGAGAAGAAGGAACTGATGGAGAGATGCACAGAAAGGTGGAGGCAGGTGGATCTTTGCCACAGACTTCTGGATGGGTATCTAGAGGGTAAGACTATATTGGTTAAGGCCAGAAAAAAAGGATGCATCAGTAAGTGAGATGAGAACTTGGGCAAGAGTTTTTAGCTGCATACATAGACAGGAGAGGGTATATCTTAGAGCTGGTATGTAGAAAGAATTGGTGAGACTTAGAGAGAACCTGGATGTGATGACCACTTGTTGAGCTCAATTTTCCACATGCTGAAAAGTGAGTGCAAGGTGGGAGTAAACTGTCAAGTCAGAATGCTAGCACCTACACTCACATCTCTAGGCCTAAAATATTCCACATAGTGCCAGACTGAAGAGAATCAAGCCTCTGTATTCATTATACATCAGTCATATTTCCATTGAAGTTAATGGCAAATTTTCCAGTTTCCCTGAGAGGGCTGGTTTTGAGTTTAAGCTTTACCTGTGTGGGGCCCAGAAACTATATATAATCTAGCGGTATCAAAGGGATGGAGCGGATTTTGGGGAGTTCCCCCAGTTCATTTGCATAAAACTCATATAGGAAGCTGTATGCTGCCTCCTGTGCAGCCCAAGGGGAGAGGTGGCTGTGGGCACGTTGGGGCAAAGGTGAGAATGAAGGGTTATGACTGTTTGAGCTGCCCAGAAGGAGGGTGGTCTTAGTAAAGCCATGTTTGCACCCCTCCAGCCCAGCCCAAGTCACCAATGCTGTGTTTTGTGCCCATAGTTAGTAATCGGCTCTTGATAAGAGACAGGCCTTTTACCACAGGGCAGGTGAGAACTAGGATCATTTAGACTGTTGGAGAATAAATTTGCAGAAAAATGAGGTGAGGGTGGTAGGTGAGGGATTGGAGATGGTCACAAAATCTTGGAATCTGGCAAATAGTTTTAGCTGAAATAATATGGGGGACTTAAATAGGTCCAAACATTGTGCAGACATTTTGAAAAGGGGATGTTGCATTTTGGAAATGCCTGAATGAAACATTTTGTTTAATTTTTGCCTCTTCATGGCAAATTGGTATTTTTCATTGACGTAAAAAAGGACCTGAATTTTAAAAAATGTCAAAAATGTGTGGGGAGGATGGGGAAAGGTTAAGTAATCAGAAAGTAAAATAAAAAATAGTTGTTTGGGAGCTGAATGAAACATTTGGGCTGGCCCCTAACACTTTTTCTTGGTCTTTGTTTTGTCAAAAAACATGTAAAAGTCTGTTTCACTTCAAACTGAATTGTTTTTTCTCCAACTTTTGTGTTTTCAGCAACAGAAAAGTCATTTATTCTCTCAGCTCTAGTCCTGTCCAATCCTTAAATCTAATGGCACGAACAAGGAGTATAGTTTAATCTGAGGTCAACCACACTTTGCTGTGATTCAAAGTGAAACCTGTGGTATCAAATGAATAAGAACTGCAGGATTTTTAGATAACTGGCAGCTTCTCTGGAAGGTAGACTGCATAAGCCCATTTAGAGAAATAACCTAAACTCAGAGGGCCTCAAAATCTGATCTGGAAATCTTCAGGACAACTTGAGTTTGTACACAGTTGAATGGCAGACTTTTACTCTTCTAGACATTCACACTAGTCTCATTCAACTGATTCAGTAAAAGGAAACTGGCAGCCAACAAGCTAATGCTTCACAAAATACAAAAGTGTGCAGGATCCCACACATTTGCTAGATGATGAAGCTTCACAGAGCTCTCTAGTCAAAGCTGTCCTTTCTGCATTGCTTTTACAAATTGGGGCAATTTAAAGGGTGGTAGCACATGACAGTGATAGGGTAGACAGGATGAGACATTTTTACCACGGCACCATCTAACAGCTCTGAACATCCTGATAGAACATCAGAGAGAGAGAGAGATTATGTCTGTCATAACACCTTGTAGGTAGGCTACAGCTCTGGACAAAAGTCTTAAAACAGCAGCTGAGAACAGTAGAGTGAAACAGTGTTTGGGCTATGCTCACCAGTTCTTTGGGCAGTGCCCGCTGACCTGCGCTTCCTTTCTGCCTGTGGTAGGAGGGATTGGAGTGGTAGAAAAATGTTGCCAGGTCTGTGCTACTGTCTTAAGTGGGGTGGTGGAGGGGCTACCCATGCAACTGTCCAACTTGCTTTATGGCCTTTTATACCAATGGTTCCACATTGGTGTAGCCAAGGGCTCCAGTGGAACCAAGAATCAAGGCCAGTGTCTACCAAGCTGCCTGGTCCTGCCCAGGGGTAGCTGTGAAGCTCCCTTGTCAACAGCTGTACTATTGAAATATTTGCCAACCCCATGCCCATTCAGAAACATGAATCAGAAACCAAAATTTCAAAGACCCTGGGTTTTTTTCCTTTAACCTTGGCTTCATTTTATTTATTTTCTAGTCTTAGAACCTTTAATTTGCAGTTTGGTTATGTTTCAGCCTTTGCCTGCAACCAGGAAGGCTAGCATCTTATGTATTTAGGTGAGAATCTTAACCAGTCACTTGCCTCCAAGAGCCACGGCTTTAGGAAGAACACTGAATATCACAATGAGGCATGCAATAAAATTACAAGAGCTGGCAACACTGCAATTAAAATGGCTTCTTCCTCTCACAGGAATTCTACTAAATGGACTTAGAGGCCAAAAAGGAGTGCACATCTACTAAGTGGAATCTGTTGATTGTAATTAACATGAAGGAATCAAATCTTCCCTTCTTGCCAAAAAAGCTCAGACCTCATGTATAAGTCCTTTAGAGGCGGGATCAGCTTAATTTACAGCTTTGTGAAATTTAGAAAACAGTACCTCCCAGATGAAGTATGGATATAGACATACAAATAAAGATAACGGAGGTAACAGGAGAGCTCACATCTGACACTTTGCAGACCCAAGGCTATGTCATTTTCTAGTTGATTCTTCTATAAAACTTTAAAAAGAGAAATCATGCCTTATATTGATAAAGGTGCATTGAGAGCTCTTTGATGCCAGCAGCAGCCAGGAGATAGGAAAAAAGCTTTGATTATATTAATCCTAAAACAGGAAACCAGTGCAGAGACTTCTGGCTAATATCTTTTTTCATTGCAGATTGCAAGATTTTAGCAGAGATCTTGACTTTAGCAGAGATCTTGACAATACTGAAAATAAAGAAGCAGGATTATCTTAACACCCTACAACTACCTTATAATTGAATTCTACCAAGGCATTGGACTGATTACAATGGCTGTATTTTCTACCTGTGCTAAAGGAGTTGGATGCAGACCTAATCTGGGCAAATAGATTGAAATTCTTTAAGGTTGGCTTCTTGTATTGAAATACTGTACCATTTACGTGTTTCATTAGTAACTGATGGGCATACATCCTGCCTGCTAAGGACAGGGATATTGTTTCCTCTGTGTTTTTTCAGTATCTTTTCAGAGCCACTGGAAATGTTTAATTATAATAATCCCCAAATTAAAGATATCAGCATTGGGTGTATCTCATTTAAAATCAGTGGGCAGCTTCTGTTATGCACCATCTGTTATACTGACTTCAGAGAAGTTGCACTAGTGTAACCAGGAGGGAAATTATAAGGAGCTGTATACTACATCAGATGCTGTTTTGGCAATCATCTGTACACTGGCAAATTAGCACTGCCTGCTGTAGACCTACTATACAGAGTTAGAACATTTCCAGGATACAAAAACAGCTGAGGAAAGAAAGTTTACTGGATAGTATCAGAAAGCAGAGTTGCATCACAGTGATATTTTCCATTAACCCTATGCAGTGAAATAACTTGGGAATGAAAGTCCAAGCCAGTTTAAGCAGCATAGTCAGCTGTATCATAACACACATGACAAAACACATACTGCATGCTATTAGTAATTGTCAGCATTTATTGAACAGAAAGGGGATCTCGGAAACAAGCACTGGCCCAAGAAATACTAACAATGTGATAGCACTTAACAACTTAAAGGACTGTACAAGCATTACCCATTTGGAATAATAGCCCTGAAAATACAGTACTTCTGAAAATACCTGCTAATTCCATCAAACACTTAAACAAATACTAGTTTTTGTACCCAACAGCCACAAGTTAGACACACAATCTTGCACATATACCAGTAAACTGGTGTTCATGTAGGGTGCGGGAAACTCCCAGGCGTACTTTTTGGCCGATTCTTCTCCTGAGTGCATGTTCAATTTCTGTTAACCTCAATGAAACAAACGCACATAACCTCTAATTATGATATTTGGTCTGTGCTATTCTCTTAGCAATTTTTTTCTGCCACTAAGAGTAGCTAATCCAGAGGAATACAGGCTGCGAGGCCACCTACCTGGCTCCCCTGGTTTATTGGAACCCAGGTATTTGGGGAGAGCAACTGTGATTACAGAACATTGTTTCACTTAATTTTGAAATGCTCTAATGATTTTGGGTCAAATTCGTCTCCGATGTAGCTCTGTAGAGATCAGTGAACTTGTACCAGGGATGACTGGTATGAAAACAGAGGGACGGGTGGGATGTTCACAACAGGGTTCAATGGAAACAAGATATGACTCCATGTAGTGCATCCCTATGCTGCAAGCTCTGTGCTAGTGGTTCTCAACCTTTTTGGACTCAAGGCACCCTTCCATAACTTTTATGAATGGAGTGGCACCCAGTTTCAAAAATGGATTCATATATTACAGTGCTCACCTCTTTGCAGAGGGGCCAGGCACTTGTGGGTAAGGTTTGTTTCAGGCAGGGACAAGCCTGAGCATGCACTTGTCTGCTTATCTCTTCACACAATTCACACATCTCCAAGATCTAGTATCATCCCAGGGTTTGTGGCACTCTGGTTGAGAATCACTGTTCTATGTACTCAGCTGTGGAATATCCTGGAAATTGAAAAGCAAAAGATAATATCGTTAGCCAAGGAAGGCAAAAACAACAACAACAGAATTAAAATATCTTTAATTTTTATCTGTTGGGAATGAAGGAACAGCCTCCAGCTACCTCTTGTACAGAGTTTAACTGATATAAATTCCCACTACATAATTTTCTATTTTATACATAATCAGAAGCCATTTCAAGGATTTAGGCAAGATCCCAGACATTAGTTCTGTCCTTGTGGAAGGATTCCTTGGATGTTAGCCTCTGAACAAGTTTTGTCTCGGAGCATTATACAGATGGCTAAATTGCTATTTGTATTTGCTGACTGACTTTATAGGGCCTAATCCTGAAGTCCTTCCTTAGTCTAATCTCCCATTGATTTCAGTGGATGTTTTGACAGAATAGAGACTTTAAAGTTTGGTCCAGATAAGCTAAATGAGGACTGATGGCTTGTTTGAAAAGAACAGATTTTCCCACATCCAAGAATAGAGAGATGTCAACATCACAAAATCTACCACCACAACTAACACGTTTGGAGCTCTGTTCAACAGACGCATCCCAGAAAGGCTCAGGGCGCAGTGGGCCATGATGACTGAACTTTCCTCTTATTCTCAGAGTATGACTCTTCAGTTTAGGGATGGGACAACAGGCCACACTGTCCTGGGTGTCTTCATACATAGAAGAGCTCAGACTTTAGGGCTGGCAATCTGACACCTTTCAAGATTACTTTTTTAGAACAAAAGAAGAACTGTTCATCACAGCTATTTCTGGCCGTCCCAACACAAAGTTAGAATTTAGCTTTCTTTTCCCTCTTTTTCTTAACACAACTGCTGAGCTCTCCCGTAGAACAGAAAGTAGATTGAGAAGCTGTTTGAGTAACCAGTATTGTCAAGTCAATGAAAAAACTATCTGAGATCATTTTATCAAACTGCAGCCTGCTATTTTGCAATTACTGTAGTTTGTCTTCTGAGATGGGACGTTGCTTTTCACTTCCAAGGCAGGCTGTGTCTTCCACTGCCCCTGTAATGAAACAGCTTTTCTTATGGACTGTTTGTATGATATATGTTTTTGTCCTGATGCAAATATCACTGAAGGCAATAGGAGTCTTCTCATTTGCTCTTCCCTAGAAAAACTCCCATTGCCTTCTACAGACCTTGGATCAGACCTCACAGCAACTCACCACTGCAGAAGACCAAGCTCAGGTAATTTGTAGCACTTCCCATGCCAATTTATATAATGAAGATAGGAATATTGAAGCGGATTTTGATGGACCCTAAGGGCATGTCCCCACAAGCGTGCACATGCTGGGGCCTGCGTTTCCCTCAGGACAAATAGCAGTGGCACATATTTGTGCCTTTGCTACTTGTCCCCAGGCGTTCCCCTGCACATGCCCTCTGGCTCGTGTCATAAAGACCTGGGTGGGGTAGGGGTGGCTGGGGCCAGTACCTGTGTTGGTCCCGGCAGCCTTACCTGGGGTTCTGGTTGCCTCCCAGGACAGCAGCAACAGCAGTTTGGCTGCTTGTAGCTTAGCCAGCAGCCAGAGCATGGCTCTGTCTCGCCAGACTCTAGTTTTTGATGGTGCACACTGCGGCCACGTATGCCGCCCTGTTGTTTTTTTTAGCAGCGGGGTGGGGTGTTGTTGACGCTGGGATCTCTTGGTGTCATGATGCAGTATGGTCTTCCGTCTTGTGAGGAAAGTATAGTATAGGAGAATGAAGACAGCAGATAGAGCTTCCAAAGGGCATCACGAAACTAAAAGCATATTGTTTTTTAGATGTGTCCCCCCTGCCCCTCCCAACCCCCTCCCCAGCCTTTTCTGTGGAAAATAGGCACTTTACACAAAAAATGAAATAGTTGTAAACCTAATTTTCTGTCCAAAAGAAGTTTTAGTGGAAAAAATTTGGCCAGCTGTTGTTACCCCTTTTTGCCTAAAAGACTCTGGCTTTGTCACAGTATTATTATGACATAATATGAGGATAGTGTCATATGAAACTACCACTGCTCAGTACCACTGTAACTTAAAGTCATGTTAGAAGTCCCCATTGATGTCAATGGAAGCAGAATCTACATTAACTTTGATGGAAGTCCAAACTGCTGTGAAGTTTGTCATGGGAAGATGATTCTGCCTTGCCCCAAATCATTCAAATGGCTTTTTAAGCACAGACCAACGTGGGATGATCCCACAGTATTAAGCATTAGGTGGGTGCCCTGCATTGAAAAACAGATGTTGAGACTCATCCCACATTACACATTAAAGCTGCTTCTGTGTTGAGTTACTAAGAAGAATGACAGTGCCTCAACCTTTGAATTTTCCTCAGTTCACAGTACAGCATTACAGCGGGCCCTGCATGATGATTGTCTGTTGGCCCCAGGCCATAAACCTGATTGCAGCTGAATATGGCACATTTATATAACTCTCCGCAGTACCTGGATAGAGTAGAAATACAAGAGATGTTTTAATAGGTGACATGGGTAGCAAATGCTAATAGGCCTCCAACTCGTTGGTTGTGGCACTACATAGAGAGTCAGGGGAGGATGCGGAAACCTTCAGTGAGAGAAATGAAGCAGATCTGGGAGGAGGTATATCAATGCTGGATGGAAAAGAAGTCTGCTAGAAGGGGCAAGTGGGAGGGTCAGGGGCAGGGCAGGTGCAAGAGGAATCCTTGGGGTGGCAGGAAGAGGAGGAAAGTGACAGGAACTAGAGGCAGAAATTACACATAAACTGGTACAAGTGATCAGAAACTGGTTCAAATCTGTAACACAACTGAAGTTCGGTGCACATAAACCACTTTCAAAATGACCCAAACCGGTTTAAGATAAACCTGCATGGATGTAGTATCAGACTTAACTGATTTAGGTTAAATTGGTTTATTGAACTTCTGTCCCAGATCCCCTCTAGATTCAAGTTAACTCACATTCCCACAGCATACCAGGATGCTTTGTACCTCCCCCGCAAAGCTGCCTCACGGGGTGGGTGGGCTAGCCTTAGTCCAAACTGTCTGCTCCAGCTGAGCAGGGGTGTGTGCTTTAGTGCCCTCTGGCTTCTGTTCTGGCCTTGGCCACTGCAGGAATGTGGTTGCATTTCCAGAATCAAAAGTGAATGTCTGTTCACTTGCTTATTGGTTCAATCTACACAGCTTAGACTAACCTGCAAAGATTTAATTGTTTTAGCCTCGGGCTTTTTGACTGCCTGTACTTAGCCAGGGTGAGCTGTTAAGCCATTGTGGAATTTGCTTATGCATGTTGAGAGTCCCATGACTCCTGGCTGCAGTGCCTCCCTTTCGAGAGGCTGGAACATCTCTGTTGTGGAAGTTCTGTAGAGAATCCTTAACATATCCTCCCTGAAAGTCCAGGGATGGGAAGATACGTGGTGGGGAGGAAGGGATCGGGCTGGGGGTTGAGAGAGAGAGAGAATATCTGGCTATGGGGGGCAGTGACTAATCAGGTTGGTGGCTATGGGGACAATGAGTATGTGGGTGGATGACTGTGGGAGCAGCAGGTGGGCGTACTGCTGTGTGGAGCAGTGAAGGAGCTGACGTATAGGTTTGTGGGGGGCGTACATGAGTGAGTTGGTGGTGCTTGGGTGAGTAGTTGGGGCTGGAGGGGAAGTGAGTTGGTGCCGTGGGTTGTATGTGAGAACAGGCAGGCGAGCTCAGTCAATGCACATGTGTGTGGTTGGGCCTAGTGAGTGCGTGGGTGTATGTATGTATGTGCGGTGCTTTTATGCCAGTGTGCGAGTGTTGGGTGTGGGCAGGCAGCAGGTGGGGGGAGCAAGGGGAATGCAAGCAAAGGGAGTGAGGGAGGAAGGAACAGCTTTGAAGGGCAAACCGGGGGTGGGGGAAATGAGGGGAAGGACATGGGAGTGAAAGCAAAATCTAATTCAGGGGCAGAAAGGGAGGAAGTGGGAGAAGAAATTCAACTGGAGGCAGTGGAAAAACTGTGTGTGGGGGAGGGGAGGGAGAGCAGAGGCAATAGAGTCCAAGACAGTGGGATTTTAAAACTGCTTTAAGGATGCTTGATAGCAGATTGTTAAAATAAATGCAAAGAAGGAACCCTGGATACTCCACGCTCGCAGGGAATCTACTTTTTCAAAGCTAACTGTATGAACACCCTCCTAATCTTTGCGTACAGGCGGCAGAGGTCTGCACACACATCCCATGCTTTTTTGCATTTGTGGCGGTTACTTGCATAAATGGCCACCCACGCATGTGTATTCCAGCTTCAGTGTGCACGCGTCTGAGGTTTGTCTGCACCAGCTCAGCCTATGCAAATTCAGGGGCACCTCTAACTGTGAAAAACTGGCCTCTCGTGAGCAAGGCTTTGTGATTTCACCTCCTTCCCCTCAGCTTATCGGTATGTGTGTTTTTGACATTGTAAATCATAGAGCAGTAGGGCTGGAAGGGACCTCAAGAAGTCATCTAATTCAGCCCCCTGCCTGAGTTAGGATCATTCCTATCAGTGGTTCTGATGCAGGTTGTGCTACCAATTTGGAGGCTGCTAGCCCACTCCTGAGTCAGTAGGAAAATCCTGTAAACCAGAGGGTTTTAGCCCAGCTTCCCCCTACCTTTCCATCCACACAGAAATCTTTTACTTGGGTTTGGAGAGGTTTGGGGGTGTTCATTGAACCCTGGGCTGTTTAACTTGGACTGGAATCTTCCCGCCTTACAGTGACGATGTAGGCTATGTCACTTGAGCACAGGTATTCATCTAGTCACTGCCTTCCCTTAGTTCCCCCCTAAACGCCAGAAAGCTCTTCTGCATCTGATACAGCTGATTGGGAAGGAATGATTCAGTGTCTCAGCATAAAAAACAATGAACCAGTGCTCCCCCAAGCATGTGTGAGCAAGTACAGAACCAGGGAGGGGAACAATAAAATGGGTCTGGTTTTGCAGTGAGGATGCCCACAGCCTGGCTAGTCAAAGTAAGGTGTTCAGAACATTGTTCCAAACTAGGCTGACCCTGCCATAAAGCTGTGCCTTCTCAGTCCAGCTTTGGAAGAGGAGTCAGCTGCTTCCCATGTGCACCAGCCAGTCTACCTCTTTGCAGCTTTGCTCAGATTTCCATCAGCCCAGGCCAGCTCCCGACTTACAATCTGCTCATCCTGCTTGCTTTATGAGAAGCTCTTGCTTTATGAGAAGCTTGATTCAGAACTTAATTCAGCCTTTCCCATTAACTTGAGAAAAAGTGAAATGCCTCTGTAGGGCAAGTGGCAATTTTTTCATTGTGGTAGTAGTTTTGAAAGTCTCCCATGCTCCTGGAGCTTTGTTGAACTTTCATCACTTACTATTTAAGTGGAAGGTAATTACTTTCAAATCTAGTGACCATGACACTGTCAAGCAGATGCAACGCCTGGGTTTGGATAGTGCATCTTTTGTTTAGTGCTTTTCCTAAGCTCTTATGTTCTTTCACTGTTCATTTTCTGGGCCTTTGATATAATAGTTAGAAAAGTTAACATGAAATCATGCATTCTCCATGTTTATTCCCTCTCTGTGATTCCGCATGAGAGATGGTGACAAGTCACAAAAGGATTTCTAACTACTGGAGTTTGCAAACTCCACCTTGGATCATGGGCTGAGAAATGAAGGCACATCAGACAGGCTTCAGCTGACAGTTTTGCTGAGTTATTCAAGATGCGGTGCTTATACTCCTGAGGGTAAATGGTGTATTTCTAGAGAGTATATGGGAGGAAGGCGTGGAAAAGGAGAAGGGAAAGGGGAAGTATACATGGAGGGAAAGAAAGATAAAGGAAAAGTGAAGAAAACACTACAATATGTCTTAAGTTGCTGGAGAGGTTATAGTGTGGTTGCAGGGATATAGTACATTTTATTGTCCATAACATTAATTGTAGGGGTGCACAGCAGTGCAACAGACTTAAAAAAGGATATGCAAACCAGTGCGCAGGGCTGTCAAGAGTCCAGCCTGTGATAGAGATGTGCATGGCTAACTATAAAGCCATTTAACTGCATAACTCAGTAGAGGCAGTACACCATGGCTGAGGGGACTTAGTTCTCTATTGCTCTACATTTTGCATAGTCATTTACTGTGGCATGTAGCGAGTGTAAATCCTTTCCTTTCCATTTTATGCTCACTTTACACCAGGGTAGGGTATACACTCATACAAGGTACAGAGCAATGTAGAATCAGATAGGGGCACCTGATTTGCTGACTAAGAAAGTGCTAATTTTATCTTATTAACTTTCTT